TTGCGAATGTTGTTAGGAGGGATGATAAATACTTTGGGCAAGATGTCCTTGGAGGGAGGCTCAATGGTACTGGCTTTGCCAACACAAAGGTATAGGGTTCAAATCCACCGGTTGCTCAGTGGGAGAAAGATGGGCAATCTCCTCCTGTGCTGTGATTTGCTGCCTCTGAAAACCTGCTGTAGGGTCAGCCATGGATTGGTTCTGACTTGATGGTACACAACAACACTCCTCGGAGAAGGACATCATTCTTAGCAGTTTGGTGGATCAGGCCAAGAGAGGGAGATCCTCTTCAAGACAGAATGACATGGTGACTTCAGTATGTCATGAATGATGAGGATGGCACAGGACAAGGATAGGACAGGGTTCAGATCTATTGTTCATAGAGTTGCAATGAGTCGTACTCAGCTTGACTCAGGGGCACATGAGAATAAAAACATGGTGATGGAGTTGGGCAAGGGATGGAAGAGAGGGCATGAGAGGGCATAAGAGGCTCCAAGAACATTGTGTGAAAAGACTCTGAGGTCCTGAACTCAAGAGCAGTGATGGGGTGATGAGGGAAGGCAGTAAGACCCACAGAGAACTCTAGAATGACGCCCCAGGACCAAGCTTGACTACACCCCACATTCCTTGAAATCAGCTCCATTTCACAGCTACGGAAAGGACACTTTGCTCAGTCCAGGGTCTGTTCTGGAGAAACAAGGAAGACAAAAGAATGAGGAAGAATCAGAGTTTCCCCACCCCTCACTGTCTGGTGATGAAGAGATTAGGTGGGAGCTTCCAGGATTGAATTTCCTAACTGGCCAAGTCACAACGGCTGGACTTAAATCCTGAGAAGGGGGGACCTTCAAATGAGGGTCAAACTAGAGAAACCAAGATTCAAGTCAGAAGCAAGAATGAAATTTGAATGAGCTCGGGAGAGTTAACTTCAAGGCAGAAAGGTCGAGGCCTTGGGAAGAAGCATGAAGCCCCACAGAGCCTGTTCCCAGATCCCCCGGGATTCGGGAGGGTAGAAGGGAAAATGAGGAGGTACTCTCAGAACATCCGCATACCAGGCCTCTCAACAGCTTGACAACGAAATTCTTTAGAATGCCAATTGCTTGAGCTGTTCAAATCCTTACCGATAGTACCTCAGTCCAGCCTTTACACACATGCGCCCCCCCTAAAACATCAAACAACAGACTCACAGTCATCAGTCAACCGAGAGTAGAACCGTGATCACGCAGGGTCTCTCATCCTGCTCTACAGGGCAGGTGATGATGGATCATTAGAACCATTATCCTTTATGGTAACGGGTCAATGCTTAACCCACCGTGCCACCAGGGATCCTTTAGGAGAAACCCCTTGGTCCCATTTAGCAGAAGAGTAAGCTGAGGCCAAGGTGCTCTGAGAGACTTGCCTGGAACTCACAGCACATTGAAAGAATCCATGCAGCAAGCCGGTGGTGACTTGGGTATGGTGGAGGGCCCTTTCCACCAGAAGCCTACTCAACAAAGTAGCATCTCAACTTAACAAAGTGGCAGCTCAACTCGAATCCAAATGTCAAGAAGGTTTGACCACCTGAGGTTCCAGACTCGCTCTTAGCTGACTATCAAGTTCTCTGTCCAGCTCCGCCACTACGTTCTCACCTGTGTTTGGAGGCAACAGACACACACTTAAGATTACAGTGTCAATCACCGTCCACTTTTCTGTAGCTCACTTCTGAAGAGTTTGCCTGTGTTTACTTTGACAACTGGAAAAATAGCAAAGCCATCATCACCCTTTTCCAACTGTACCCTGCCCTTCCCCTCAAAAACAAAAAGCAAGAGAGAAAAAAAAAAAGCAGACTGAGGAAGAGCTGACAGATCTGTTCAAAACTCCTACAAATTGCAGCTTATTTTAAATGCTGCTCCCAACCAACATTCAAGCAGCACAGGATCTGCAAAGCTGTGGTAGGATCATCTCCTTGGAGAAACGAGGCCCTCTTGGAGCATGCGCACGGAGGAGCAGCAGAAGAGACAGCCCGTCCACACCCACTCAGCCCCCAGCCCAGACTCTCCGGAGCATCCTCCGCTCCCAGAAGAGAAGCTGGCCCGCCATCCCAAAGTCAAACACCAGAACTGTGTGTTCAGCTGAACAGTCCTCTGTTTGCAGAGCACTTGGTGGCATTGATTTCATAAGGTAGTACGAGGGCCATGGTACCACCAAGTGCCATTATAGACACCCCGTGCCACCCTGGGACACACAAGAGGGCACAAAACTCAGAGTAGGAGGGGACCACCAAGCCTAGCCAGGCCACTTCACTCCAAACTGGAGAACCTGAGATCCAGAGAAGAAAACGATATTCATTCTAAGTCATCCCGCTTCTTACAAGTATAGGCCATCCATTTCCAGTGAAACTGTACCCCCAATAACACCAATCCAATTCTGATAACAATAATTCAAGACAAAGGTAAAAGAACCCTGAAGCGAGGCCAAGCCAAAGACTCCATCTTCACATGTCAAAAAAAGAATGAAAGACTGAAAATAAGATTTTTTCCGAAGAGACTATTCCCCTCTAGTAAATAAGGTTGTCTTTGGGATGGAAAGGTTAACAAGCTGAGCTGATAACTGAAGGATGGGGGGGGGGGCAATGTGCTCAGAAGCATCTGGAGAGTCAGTCTGGTAAGTCACATCCCCCAAAAAATCAGCCTGTGAACCCCTTGAAGCACAGGTCTAACCTCAAAACCATGGGGTCACTGCGAATCAAAATCAGCTCAACTATGTGATGTAGGCTGGCCATCATGTAAAGCTGAGCAACTGAGACTCCGTAATGCAAGCACAGAGCAAGAACGAGGAGGGACAAGGGCTGAATGAAAGCATTTGCTCTGTATTGAATTGTGAACCCCCCAAAAAACACGGGTCAACTTATGTGGGCCATGATACTCAGTGGTTTGATAATTAACAAAATCATCACCATCAAGTCAGAAGCAACTCATATCTGATCTTCCATTGGGTTTCCTAGGCTGTAAACTGTACAAGAGGAGATTGCCCATCTTTCTTCTTCGGAGCAGCTGGTGGATTCGAACTGCCTTTGAGGAGGCATTGCAACTCCCTGTGGACTGCCCACTAGAGCTCCCTAGAGAACTTACTGACTAGCCTTGAGGTAGAACACAGGCAAGTGTCTGTCCCAAGCTATATGAAGGCTCTGGCCCAAATGACCAAGTTTACATACAAGCAATCTGAGCCATAGCCTTGCTAGAAAACTCTATCTTGGCTTCTCACTTTCCTCCAAACACACCATCCATCTCTGAGTCCAGCACAAGACCGCTGTCCACTGTTTGCACCTTATTCATATCCCGCATCCCTCTACCAGACACTGCTCTCCAAAAGGGATCACCCTCTTCCCCAAAAGACTGGACCTACTCTGATTTTTCTGCCTTTGCTCACTGCTCTGTTTCCATCTGGAATGCTCTTCCATTTTCTCTGCTTGCTAAGAAATTCCACCACCAGTGCTTAAGGAATCAGGGCAGCAAAGGGGTTAGGGGTGAGTTCAGAACCAGAGAACAATATGGCTGTCAGCTCCTTCAAGTTCAAATACAAGCCTTACATGGTAGTTACCATTTAGCAAAAGGTCAGCTAATCCCTGGCAACCTACCAGCTGTGGGCCTCGAGAGAAAACACACCTAAGGTGATAAAACAAGAACAATGTAACTCCATTTTGAACCCTCCCTCAAGGACCAGCTCCAGGTACCTGTCAAGTGTTAACAAACAGCAGAGAAAAAAAGAAGAAAAAAAAAGTGTCCCCTGCCTCTGGCCCACCTAGAGGTCAAGGAGGCACAAGAATGAAACTAGTCTACTTTTCAAGGTCCAGCTTTAAACTTAGCACGGTAAGAAGTCAGCAGGAGACAGAGGACTCTGACTTGTGCAGTGAGCTGACTGTTTTGAGTCAGCAGAACTGGGTGTCCCAAGAAGCAGGCCATGATCTCAACAACACTCACTGTTCCTGTGGAGCAGGGGCCAAGTGTTCACTAGGGCTTCTGCCCAGGCCTTCAAGGGACACCGAGTGACTATGAAATATTTGGGTCTGGTGGCTCTGAGTGAAAGATCAAGGGAGATCTGCCTCTATTCTGGGTCAGAATTATTTTGAGCAAGCAGCTGGGTGACTTGCAACACCTTCTTAGAAATCTTTGAGGGCTGTTGACTTTTTTTAGATAGCCTATCTTGAGTCTGCCTTCTGAATTCCACCAGTTTAGAATTCTGTTCTTTCACAAGGGACATCTCTGAGGCAGGCCACAGCTACAGCCGCCTGGTTGTTGGGAGATGGAAATCACTCCCGGATATGCGTCCACTTTACCTGCCCAGGAACCCAAGCCAAGATCCAGGCCAGGCAGCCACTAAAATGAAGAAAGCCCTAAGGGCTTCCTTATCAAGACCCAAAGGTCCAATTCTAGGGTAACGTGAGCTCAGGGACTGAGAATACACGTGGCATCAAGTCAGGCTGCTCTGGGAGCTTTAATGGTTTTGAAAGGGGACTCTCTTTGAACACCTCTTCCCCAGACCACCCACTCTAGTCAGGGAATCATTACTGGCAAAGGGACTTGGAGGAAGCTTCCAGAACAAACTCAAATCTTAAGAGTCCCACGCTACCCTTCTTCTGTATCCATTTTTTTCAAAGCATTAATTCACCACCTGCAACTCTTCTGTTTTCTTTTCCCTTTACTGGCTTGTGCCCCCCTCCCCCCGTTCTGGATCTTGGTTCCGTATGGATAGGACAACCAGATAAGGCGCAGCGCCTGGCACCATGGGCCGCTCCATTATAATATATTAACTAAATTCAACAAGTGAACCGAATTTGAAGGCCAGACTTGGGGCGAGGTGACGGGCATTAGTGGGGTTCTGGGAGGGGAGAAAGGCACTCGGTTTTGGTACAATGAAGGCGCAGGCCACGCGGAGATGGGAAGTACGACAATCGGACCCCAGCAGAGGTTCCCGCAAAAAGTACCCCGAGACCAGCCGGCTCCCGCCCCGGCGCCCGCACTCACCCGCTGCAGTTCCAGCTCGATCTCGCCGGCTTTGAGCACGATGGGGCCCCGCACCGCGTACTCCACCGCCTTCACCTGCGGGTTCATGGACTCGAGCGTGAGGATGCGCTCTCGCGGGCTCCGTTCGGGCCGCATCTTGAGCACAGCCGAGGCCTCGGCGGCTGCGCTGCTCTGACTTCGGCCCCAGGAGCCCAGGGGCCGGAGACCGCAGCCCCGCCGAGCTAGCACCGCCGCCCGCTGCATCGTTCGTCTGTCCAAGGAAGCGCTGGCACCAAAAAGAGAAAAGAACAAACAGGTCGCGCACAGCCTGAGATGAGCACCCGTCCTCCCCTCGCTCAGCTAAGGGCTCTTTCGGTGTGCAGTGCCAGCCTGGCTTCCCGGCTGGTGTCCATCTCCCCGCATCTGGGACCCTCCATCGCGCCACCGAAGCGCCAAAGCACTGCACAGCCGGGTTTGCAAAGATAATGCCCAAGGGAAGCTTGCAACGTGCGGGTCGCCACACCTTGACTAGCGCGCGTTCCTAAAGCTGCTCCGCTGCTCCAGCTTCTGCAGCCGCATCCCGGAGTCCGAACCGCCCGGCCTCCTGCGCTTGCACACCCACTGCCGGCAAGCCCGCCCCGGGTCTGCGAGCGGCCCTATGGACCTTGTAGTTCCTCCGGCCCTTCTCTGTTCCGATGTGGAGGCCTAAAAAACTACGACTCCCACAGTGCTCCGGTGCAAGCGGGGCGGAGGCCAAACTGGGAGCCGGCCAAGAGGCCTGGCAAGGGCTGGGGAGAGATCGGCTGTCCTGGCGGAGCTTTGGGCGGGCTCTTTGTCCTGGTGGTTGAAGAAGCCAGTAAGGACTGGACAGGGGCTGTCGTCTCGGACCGTCAGCGAATTTAAACTATTGGTTGTTTCTTCTAGAGCGCAATTAAATCCCACCCACACCTGCAAGGACGCGTGGCCTGCTAGGTGGTGCAGTTGTCACCTTCAGTTTCATCATCCCGTGGCAGCGGCCGCTCCTTAAGGAGCTTGTAGGAAGTGGGGCTTAGGAGTCGACTTAGGTCGCTCTCTCTGACCACTTCTGAACGTCAATTTTATCAGCATAATTATGCCCATAACCTCTAAGGGTTACTGAGAATGAAAAAACAGCTTTTTCTGACAACTCCCATATAAAATCCACACGGCCACACACCGCCACTACCACTTCCCAGCATCTCGAATGTTCTTGTTTAGGTACCTTTTGCTGGTCGCCCACCCTCATTGCTACATAAACTTCAACCTGGAAGGACGACAGTTTATCTGCCTTTTTCACAGTAAATCGCTCAATTTATTGCTGTGAGTTAGAACCTATTATTCCGGAGGGTTTTTCCGAGGTTGTAAATTACAGGAGAGTCTACTTTCCCTCATCTCGGGAGCGCAGCTAGAATCAGAGCAGCTGGGGGACTGGAACTTTTGAGTTAACATCAGAACTCCCTGTACTCACATCATAAGTAAAAGCACCTCTACTAGTGCCCTGCGCATAGTGGACACTCAGTAGCGAACACAAAGAACGCATGCGCAGAACAAGGCTACTTGGCAAATGTCTCTGAAGACAAAACTTTCCGGACTCTTTGGAGTGAGGACAGAGCAAGACTGAGAGGTGCTGGGGTTGTTAAGAGCCACTGAGGTGGCTCTCTATGTATAACAGAGCAACTCTTGCAACTCTATGTATAACAGAACAAAAAGTCCTTCAGGCCGGTACCATCCTCGTGTGCTGAAGTAGAGTTGAGCTCCTTTTGTAACCATTGTCAATTTATCTCATTGAGGAGTTTCCTTTTTACTTTTTTCCTTTCTCTGACACCCATCCCCACCTTGTCTCGGACTCTAAGACACTAAAATCTGTAGAGAGGACATTAGAAGAGTGACTCCCCTCTGGGCCTCCGATTGATTCTTCTTCTGCAAAATAAACTGTATCGAATGACCTTTAAAGTCCTTCCTAGTCTTGGAAAGTCTGTGGGTTCAGAGTTTCTAAATAGAAAAATAGCCCAGAAGCTTCCTCATTCCAAAGTACATCCCAAAATTCCTATTCTACCCCACTACTCCAGACACATGTTTGTGAAAGCTAGGGACTAGGGAGGACATAATAAACCAGGCATTGTAAGGAAAAAGGCACCAGAAGGCTTGGATTTTAATATAAACTACATATGGTTATCCTCAATTATTCCCTGTGCAAAAAAGTTGGGCAATGAATAAGGATGACAGAAAAAGAATCAATGTCTTAAAACTGTGGTGTTGGAGAGGAGTACTGAGTATCCCATGGACTGACAAAGGAACAAACAAGTCTGTCTTGGAGAATGTGAAACCAGGATGGTCCTTAGAGGCAAAGATGATCAAGATTAATCTCATACACTTTAGGTATGCTGTCAGGAGAGGCCAGTCTTTGGAAAAAGGCATCATGCTTGGAAAGGCGAAGGGTCAAAGACAGGAAGCCTTCAACAAGATGAATCAACACCGTGGCTGTAACAATGGACTGGAGCATAACAGAGTTCATGTGGATGGCACAGGATAGGGCAAGGTTCATAGAGTCACTGAGCTGCAGGTGATTTGATGGCACCTAACAACAACAATGGTTACTGACCTTGAGGGTGCCACTTAGCTTTGGTTACTCTTAGTTTCGCCATCTCTAAATTGGAGATAATGACACCTACCTCATGAAGCCACAGAGGAAGTTCAGTGAGGTAAGTTTATAAAAGCCAACAGTTTGGAATCTTGCTGTGAGTCACTCAGTTCATTCTTGACAAGAGAGTACCTTAATATTGTTGTTGCTATTTTATGTGCTGTCGAGTCACTTGCGATTCGTAGCTACCCTAAGTACAACATCTCTGAATCCTGCTCTATGCTGTGTCAACCTTATTGTCTCTGACACACCTACCCCCATTACCCCAGCCACTGAGTCTATCCATCTCATCCAGGGTCTTCCTCTCTTGCTCTGTCCCTCTACCCTCCCAAACTTGATGTCCCTCTCCAAGGACTGGTCCCTCCTTGCAACATAACCAGAGTATGTCAGATGAAGCTCCAGAATCCTTGCCTCCAAGAAACAGCCTGGTTTCACCCTCTCTAGAATGAACCCATTTGTTCCATTAGCAGTTCATGTTATAATTAACACTCTTCTCCAACACCACAGCTCAAAAGCATCAATTCTCCTTCTATCATCCCTAGTCATAGGAGTGCCATATTTTTTTTTCTTTAGAGTACCATACAATTTTATTCAACAAATGCATTACCTGTAAGGGGAGGAGGAGAAAAAGAGTGAGAGGAAATTCTAGAAACCAACGGTGCCTGTGAGAATTCCTGTGGTAACAAACTGGCCACAGAGTCATGTGGGCTTCTTATCCACTGATTGCACCCCCGGCACCTGTGTGCACGCTATTTCCCTGTTTCATCAGTCTCAATGGCCAAATATTGTTGTTGTATCAGGTGGCGTCGAGTGTGACTCATAGAGGCTCTATGAACAACAGATCAGAACTCTGTTCTAGCCTGTGCCAACCTCACAATCTCTGACATACTCAAGCCCGTTGCTGCAGTCACTATGTCAATCCACTTTCACTGACCCTTCACTTTTCCAGGCATGATGTCCCCTTCCAAGGAGTAACCACTCCTAATGATTCTCACCACTGGGCCAATTGGCAGCACCATGATGGATGGAGAAGAGATTGAGGTTGTTAACAATTAAAGCTTGCAAGTTTCACAATCAACATTCTTGGTACCAGTAGTTAGGAAACTCAAAAGACAAATTGTGTTAGGGAAATCTGCTGTTAGGGACTCTCCAAAGAGCAACAATGCCACTGTAGAGATGAAGGTGCATCTGATTCAGGCCGTGGTCTTTGCAATTACTTGTTATGCACTAGAGAGCGGGACAATGACAAATAATGACAGAAGAATGAATGTCCTTGAGTTGTGGTGCTGGAGAAGAGTATTTAACATACCACGGACTGCCAAGAAAGCAAATAGGTCTGTCCTGGAGATGGTGGAACTGATCTGCTCCTTGAAGGCAAGGATTTTGAAACTCTCTCGTACTCTGGGCACGTTGCCAGGAGGGACCAGTTTTTGGAGAAAGACATCATACTTGAAAGGGTGGAGGACTAGTGTAGGAAAGGAAAACCCTGGATGAGATGGACTGACACAGTAATGGTGATGTCAGAGAAGTAAGACTGGCTCAGGATAGGACAAGGTTCAGAGCTATTGCACATAGGGTCATTATGACTCGCAGGTGACTTAATTGTCCATAACAACAGGAAGAACATGCCCAAAGTATGCAAGATGAAGCTTCACCATCCCTGCTTCCAAGGAGCAATCTGGCTTCATCTTCTACAAGATATATGTTTGTTCTTTTGGCAGCCCATGGGATATTCTGTAGTCTCCTTGAACACCGTAGTTTAAATCATCATTTCTTTTGTCATCCTTATTCATTGTCCAGCTCTCAGATGCATAGCAAACAATTGAAAAGTCATGGTCATGTATTGTCTCTATGATACACTGTGGACTGAGCGGCTGTGTGGACTATGGGCTTCAATGATGTGTGCACCTGCTCTGCTCCTTTGAGGAGACACACTCATATACACGCCTCCAACTCTAAAACACACTTAACCTTGACCTACATATGATGCAAGCACAGTCTTTCACTGTGCCCAGCAAACAGTGTACCTACTGGTTTCCACGTCATTGTCACACAGAACAAATAGTTTCCCAAACACACCCTCTGCTAGCCTGCTGTAGAGGGCATATTAGAGAGCTCCCTGGCTTTCTCTCATCCAAGTACTAGCCCGATCCAATCCTGCTTAATTCCTGTGATTGGGCTCCTTCAGGGTGGTCTGCCCATAGACTTCCTCGCTTTTTCATGAATTACACATAACAATTTGCAAATCACTTTCTTGCCCATAATTGCATTAGAATCTCGTGACAAGTAAAAATCCAAACTCAGTGCCATTGTTGTCTCTAAGTGTGGTTGAATCGAGTCCAACTCCTAGTGACCCTATGAACAGCAGCTCTGAGCCGTGTCTGATCCCGCACCATCCTATCATCCCCAACACATTTGGGCCCGTTGTCAGTCTGTCTTGCCGAGGGTCTTCCTCTCCTTCGCTGACACTCCTCCACCTTTCGAAGCACGATGTTCCTTTCCTAGGGTCCCAGCTCACAGAGGCTTTCTGTTGGGATTTTGGGGTTGCCCACCTTTCTTCCACCGGGCAGTCCCCTTTTGGTTAGCAACCCAGAACTCATTACACTGCT